ATTACGTGTGGGAAATGATTAACACTCCATAACACACAAAAATTGACTCATAGTCGATTACCCTTTGTTATTAAATTAAAATTTTGAGTTAGAAGTTTTATTTAATTTAAAATCCATTATACATGAAAGATTTAAAAAGGATTTCAGTGTATTAGGACTAATAACAAATACCCTCAAGCACAAGCTGAAGTTTCATTATTAATCCTAATAAATAAATATTGACTTAATGATCTTAAAATCATGATGCATGATTTTAAGAAGGATGTTCATTCACTTTAGGAATCAATAGTGGTCACCCTCATACATAAGCGGAAGATATACTATTAACCCCTAATAAATGAACATTACCTTATTTTAAAATCGAATTATGCAACCAAACTACCAATTATTAAACATAATTATACTAGGGAAGTTAATTAAAGATTTCATCTAACTAAACTGTCATATTATGAATTTTATAGAACCTAAAGGATTAAACCTAAAATGTAGACTTTAATATTAACATAATCAATTTTATGAATTATCGAATCTAATAATTAATTCGGAGCCTCGAGCATAAAGGTGATGATGAAATTAAATATTTATCTATATTAAAATATTAAAATGAAATTAATCTAAAATAAAGCTCTAATATTAAAACCTAATCAATTTTATCAATTTATTTAATCAAATAATTAATTTGGAAGATCAAGCAAAAGCGATGATAAGATTAAAAATTAACCTAAATTAAAGGACTAAGGTGAAATTAAACATAAGGTGAAGGCTTTAATATTAAAACCTAATCAATTTTAGTAATTTATTAAATCATATAATTAAATCAAAATCTCGAGCAAAAGCGATGACAAAATTAAATATTCACCTAAATTAAACCAAATTTAAGGACTAAAATAAATAAACCTAAATTTAAAGGTTAAAATCTAAATACAAAGTAAATAAATAAGGACTAAATTTAAGATTACCAACAAAAATTGAAAGGAATTAAAATACATAAAGAGATTAAACTGAAACAAATTAAAATACATCAAATTAGAGCATTGAAATGAAAGAAAACATAAAGTAAGGCTTAAATTATAAAAATACATAAAATTAAATATTAGAATTTAAAGGACTGAAATTAAAAATTGTAACATCCTCCATATCGGGTTAGTGATTAAATTATAAAGTTTCAGAATTTGGTGATTAAAGTAGAATGATGGAAAAGTTCAATGACTTATTTGAGCTATTTTTTGTAGGATTAAATTATAAAGAAGGAGGATTAGAAGGACAAAATGGTCTTTTCATAGCAAGATAATTATTGGGGTTAGTATTATATTAAACCACGTGGAAGTATAGGAAACCAAAACAAGCTTCCAGAGTTTTCTTCTTCTTCTTCTTCTTCATACGTGAGACCCAAGCTAAAGGTAAGATCTCTTGTTAGTGAATTTCTTGATGAATTTATGGTTGATTTATGACCATTAGGTGATAGTTAAGCTTAAAGGAAGTTTAATTTGTTTTAAAACCTCAAGACGAGAAGTATATGAGGATTTGAATAAATGAAGTAGAAAAGTAAAATCTTGGATTAGAGTTCATAATAAGAATTGGAAGTGAGATTTGACTTGTCATCAAGTTAATTAAGGGATAGGAAGTGTTAGAATATGAATTTGAGCATGTTGCAAAACTAGTATAATTTTGCAATTACATAGAAAGGATTAGTTTGGAGTTTAAAGAAGTGATTATGGAGTAGAAATGAGTTTAAGTCTGTGTATGAAAGTTAGGAATATTAAAGGGAGTAAAATATAAAGGTTTGAGCAGAAATAAGGTGATTTTCGAGCTCAAAATGGGATTTCTGGGCTAGGGGAATTGGTACCCATTCAAGGGGAATCGATACCCCTCAAACGAATATGAAATTCCAGAATGCTAGAGGGGAATCGATACCCCCACAAGGGGGAACCGATTCCCCCTAAAGGAAAAATGAAATATCAATTCATTAAATTGTTTAAGCTATTAGAGGTTAATTGCAAGACTTAGGCATCTGATAATCATCTTGAAAATTATTTTTATGTAGATATTGAGCCTAATCGAGTTCTGGAACAATCGACAAGTAAGATCGATCGAGGAAAAAGCAAGGAAATATAGGTGAGTGCATATGCATAACATGAATATAGTATTATATTCAGTTCTAGACTTGTGATAAGTCTAGATTCAATATTTGATACATGATCACATTCCATATTATGATACTTGACATGAATTCATATTATATGAATTATGTGACATGAATATGCAGGAAAAGTTATATGAATTATGTGATATAGGTATGGAAATGATATGTTTATGCGATATAAATTATGTGAATTGTAAAAGCCCATGTTCTGTAGATGATAACTATAGGTATAGGTGGCATGCCAAGAGTAGAGAGTCTACACGGTCCTTCGAGATATATATATATATTCTTTGGAACATTTGTGAGGTCTTTTGAGACACATAATTGATCCTTGGCATATGTATATGATTCTTAAGGAATTTATATGTAGTCCTTCGGGACAAATTCTACGCGGTCCTTCGGGACAAATTTCTACGCGGCACTTCGGTGCAATTTATACGAGCTCTGGTGACAGCATAGTGCACAACCTCACAATACTCACGTACCTTAGGTTCTCAGTATGGTATCATGGGCCAATAACTTATTAATACAAATTCGTGAATGCTAATGTAATATGCTTACGGGTAAGGATCATGGTGATATAAACTACATTGATTAAGTATACGATTTCATCTCATTTCATATCATTATGGCATTTTCATTACAGTTCCTTGCTATTATTATTATATTGCCTCACTAAGTCGATGACTTAGAGTGTGAGTGTTTCACGCGTAGGATCCGAGAAAGTAGAAGATACAGGTTAAGCATTTGACATCATTACCCCTGCAACTATCAGATCAGAAGCAACCTAATCAGTAGGTCATTTTGTTATGTAAATGGGTGTTGGCATATAACTAAAGGGTTAAGTTGTGTATGCTCTGAGTATTTTGGTAAACTTTCATTAATATATGTATATTATCGTATTTTCTTAATATAATTTTAAGTATTTTTTTATTATTTGTTAAGAGTAATGTTTTAAAAAGGTAATGTGACATCTTGGACTCGTATCCGGGTCGGGTACGGATTAAGGGTGTTACAAAAATACTAGCAATTAAAGGGCATAAATTTAAAATTAGAAGGTTAATTTTAATATTTTACTCGAACCATAATAATATGAGTCATATCCCGAGACGGGTCACTATGTAATCGTAAGATCGATTTGGAATAATTAAATTAACAGTTAATGTTACATATTATCCATATCATAAATAATATAGATCATAAATAAGGTCAGATCAAATAATAGTTGCAATAATTAAAAAATATATCAGAAATGAAAAATAACAAAAATCAATGTATTAGATTCGAAAATAAAAATAACAAAGAAAATATGGACCAATATGTAAAAATGCGACAAATTTAGGGGACTAAAACGCGGTTCACCCTATTTCAACCTTCTATAACCTAAAATTATGCCTGAAATGACCACTTTAGAAATCTAACCCTAAAAGACATTCCTAATTTTTTGTTTTATCTGTAATCTCACATTCCACCGCCCAACGAAGACCTCAATATCAAACGCTCCGGCCACCATTAAACCACCGAATTTTGCTGGTAGTTCACTCCTACGACCGTCACTAAACTAGATCGGGGAAAGCCCTAAACCACCCTAAACGAAACAAAAGACATTTTATTTTTAAACCTCTATAACACACTTATTTTATTTTTAACCCTCTATCTCTAGACCGAAGCTTTCGTGAGTCCACAACCGTTGTAAACCGACGTTCCTTCCTTTGACTACCACCAACGGTGGTCGGGAAAGATAAGAACCAACCCTGAATGAACTTAAAGATTAAACACTTCGATTCTCACCTAGAAATCAAGATTTGAAATCTAAAAAGCCTAATACCAAAATCCTAAGTCCTCTTAACCAACGTCCCCTCGTCTTCTTGAACTCCGACAACTCTAGGATTGCTCTGGTTACCTCCCCTATGACGAGATCTAGACCGATCGTGAAAGAAGACCGATGAAACTCCTTCAACAGAACCTCAAACGCCTCAGGTAAACAAAATCGTCAAAGAAAGACGTAGGCGGCAGATATGACTTGGACAGAAAACCCTGGGGTCTTTTAGTAACCTTAAGATTTTTGGGCTTGGCGGGCTTACTAGATTTGAAAACCAAATGGGTTTAAACTTTGTAATTAATTTGGGTTTGCATTGGACCACGAGTAATATAGGCTTGATTGAAATTGGACCAATTATTTGTTTTGTAATGGACTATATTTTATTTTCATATTTATTTTGGTATTTGGATGTTAATTAAGAAGATTTTAATTAATTTGAGCTTTAAACTTCATAATGCACACATGGACACCAACTCCAGTTAAGCACATGCTGAAAACCTACCATTCATGGCAGAAATTTCTCAAAGTCCCGTTAATTAAGAATATATACAGAATTCCAAGAACTATCTTTCACTCATGTCATCTGTGCTACTTGAAGTAACTCGATATCAACTTACAAATAACTCCAAATCGGTCTTTGATCGCGTTCAAATCGATTTGAATTGCTCAGACGAGATTAGAGTATAACACAGAGGTTGCTGTTGATTTGAAATGCTGGCTTTGATGAAGCTACCTATTCAGATATCGAACTGCATGTTCACCTTTTGGGGTTCTGAGCTTTATCTAACCGATTAAAAGAACAACATTAGAGAAAAATAAACAGAATAATGGGTGATGGAAATGTTGTAATGTGATGTCGTCACCATGCATTACTTAAACATAATTATTTCAATACTTGGAAATGTTGTAATGTGATGTCGTCACCATGCATTACTTAAACATAATTATTTCAATACTTGTAAACACTGATTAATAACTTTATATAATCTGAGCGGTTAACATTCAATACTCGTAAAATACATAAGAAGATGAAACCCAGTATCAGAAAACATTCGCCTGCAAGTCTTGAAGTTTATCTTCGTTGGAAGCTTCAGCGGCAAAGAGAGGAACTTCAAGCTCAGGTGGATCCTGTGGCATCCATAATAAGTCAATTGTTTATCGTTAATTGTATAAGAAACACACGTTCGTTTATATTTCATTGAATTAATAATTTTACCATGCAGCGCACAAGAGCCCAATTTACACCTTTGAAGAACGGGTGTCTTTTGATTTCACTCGCACCTAATCTGCTTCTCGGATCTCTATCTAGTAATCGATACATTAGCTGCTTTGCATGGACACTCACCTGCATTAATGCAAATACATTTATAAAAATACCCCATTCTCAATGTTTGATTAAACCGGTGCATATTGTCATTAACATTTACTTGTATGCTTCTTGGGAATTTAAGATGTTTCTGAAGAACATTGGCAAAAGTCCTCTGTCTTGTCTTTCCCCTGAATGGTGTATAACCATACAACATTTCATACAGAAGAATGCCTGAAATTATTAGATAAACAAATGACAAGAAATGAACACCCGATTTTGATAAACGTGGCTTTTGGATTATAGGAAAAGAAATTCAAGTTACCTAGTGCCCACCAATCCACTGCACTAGTGTGGCCCGCACCACTGATAATTTCCTGCAAAAATATTACAGTGAAATGCAAGCAATTCTTTAGCAATTTTAAAATAGATACATACATAAATAAAGATACTAACCGGGGCAATATACTCTTCAGTTCCCACAAAAGAATTCGATGCACGCATAGGTTCTGCCATAAATATTGGTCTCTGCTGATTTCTCTTTTCATCTGTTGCTGGAATCAGCAGCTATAAAACACCACTATAATTTAACATAAATTTTCCAAACTTGAAATACTCTGATGAACGGCATATAACAAAGCTTTAGATGACCTGGGGTTTGCAAGACGTCAAGCAAGATAAATCAAAATCGGTCAAGGCAACATGTCCGTTGTCCTGGAGAAGAACATTTTCTGGCTTTAAATCTCTGTATATGATCCCTGTGAGAATAGAAATAGGTTAACTCAATAACTTATCCATCACGTAATTAACAAGTTTTTCTTTTCTTATTGACTTTAACCTACCTTGGAAGTGAAGGTACTCCAATGCAACGACAACTTGCGCAGCATAAAATCTACATTAATAAAAAAATTCATGTTAATCCCAACTCATATTTGGGAATAAACTGAAAATCTCCCCAATTTTGGCTGAAAAGTTATAACAAGTGTAGCTATATTATCGCGACTCTTCATTTTCCGGGCAAAAGTAATTGTTAAACATGGCTAATGATAATTAAGTACCTCACTGCTTCTTCCTTCACGACCTTCATTGGTTGCCTGTCCAAAAGCATGAAAAGCTCTCCACCAGGAAAGTAATCTGTAATCAGACAAACATGTGTTTTGGTCTGCAAAGTGTAATGACAGTTAGAATTTTGATGTTCCGATATAAATAATGCAAGTCAGAGAACGGGAATCTAATCTGCAATGAACTTCATCACAACAAGAAAAGAAATACAAGACCGTTTCTTATGAATTCTTATTAAATTGTGAAGCATTTCATTCATGTATCGGAGAAAATGGAAAGAATTTCAGACTAATATTTTAGCTAATCATGATAAAACAAATCTGCGGTTAGCTCATATATCAGTTTCCATACCTGAAATGATGCATACAGTGCTGGAAGGAAAGGATGGTCCAACATGTTAAGAATTTCTCTTTCTGCACAAGCTCTATGCACCTACAGCAATGGAACGCATCAGGAAAGCAAAAAAATAAAGACAAACTATTAATGTTCAAGGAACATGGAAGGAAATGAAACTGTCGGAAATTCGAACAAGCTAGAATCGATCATTTAAACTAAAAGGAAACTCATCCCCTGCAGGCTCTTATCATTAGATACCATACAAGTAAAACTCATAATCTATTCAATATACGTCAGATACCTTGTTCCGGTTGAGCATAACGCCTTTGTCCATAGCTTTCATTGCGAAGTACATGCCAGTCCCACAGAGTTCCACCAAATGCACACTGTCAAAGGGGGAAAAAACAATAGCTAATATGCAAATTTATATCAGAATATACTTGCATTATACTGCAAAAATGAGTGTAAAATGCTAAACAGTAATTAAACAAACCTGCCCGTGTCACCTGATCCCAACGACTTTACTGGCCTAAAGTGTTTTAGACCTATCCTTTCTCCACTGTCAAGAATCTACAAATTACAAGTGAAATACGAAATATAAAAATAATATATATAGTAATATACTCGGCATATGGAAAAGATATATGAAATCTTTTAGAATATATGAATAATTTAACCATTTAATTGGTTATAGCTTATAAACACATTTCAAACTCTATACCCACCCATGTGGGATTGAATTACTTTAAGCACCAACTTTTGCTCAACAACATTTGCAAGTAGTTTATTTTGAGCATTAATTTCTCATTCATCACGTAATCATTTTGAGCATATTATACCTCCTTTTAAAGACCTCAAGAGGTAGAATACAAATCTATAATTTATTATTCAAAACTCTAATTTTACCAATAAATAATATACCTCAAAGTTTTAGAATATTCATTTTTAACACTTTTTAATATGTTATATAAAAGATAAAACATCAACAGCAAATAAGAATGAACTGCTGGAAACAAATTATATGTTTTATATTTAATTGGGTCGGTTTAGATGATCCCAACTATAAGATGGTGAATTGTAAAAATCAGGAAATCAGAGACTAATGGCTCTTTTTAAAATGTTAAATTATTCATATATTATAAAAGATTTCATATATCTTTTGCATAGAGCGGACAATGACACTGGAATATCTGTTCTTTCTAACGATATGCTGATCTCGTTTAAATTCCAGCTGTGATAAATTTATACCTTTTGAATAGCTTTCCAAGAGGGACTATCCTTTCTGTGAGGCTTAGGGTGAACCACCTTGGAATGATTTTTCCATAGATCTTCCGGAGTCTGCAGGTAGTGAAATTTGTACAAAGATTTTTGTAAGACAAAAGAGGTTTCTGAAGAAGTGAATCAACATTACCATATTGGCGTCTGGAAGTTCCCTCGCTGCTTCATCGACATTTTCTGCCGTTTGTTTCACCTGCAAGCAGTGACTATGCTAATTTGTCACGCACAATCCAAGAAATCTATTAATAGCATTATATAATACACAAAAATTACAGATTTTCACTGCCTAGTGTAGCATTCAAGTTACAGATTTGTATAGATTTTGGTAATGAAAAAGGCAGATCAGCACTCAAAAGAACTTCAAAAAGTAAAAATAGAGCTCAGTTAAGACCAGTTGTTCACTCTCTTGTGCAACAGTATCTGGAATACGATTACGAAGTGGATCAACTTCGGCACTGCCATCGAGCTGCACTCCAATGAAATACTGGACTTCACCCTGTTTTATAGAGGTCAAATAAGAAAACACGATCTAAGAGAAAATGTAGCAAAAATTTGATCGTCTGCTTCACATAGGAGTTAAACAGCAAGATTCAGCTTTTATATTCAACTCCATAAGTTTGAGGATTTTACCTTCTGGTCACGCATGGACTGCAGATGGAACAAGTTCCAGAACTTCTTGCCTGAAATTCGATGAAAGAATGGTTATATGCAATAATAACAGAACCTGAATGCATTACATGCACGTCGTGAATCTGGCAATGGAAAGATTATATGAAAACCTATAACTTGAATAACATTAAAACATATATACCACTCTTTGTGTAATTGATGAGCTGAACAGTTACTTCTGTTTGGTTATCTATGGCCTCCCGAATCTTCCTCACAGTAGCTGGATCGGTTTCAGGGCCTTGGAGAAACCTGTTACGGGGTCGTTCGGTTTACGGAATGTAAAATTACCTTTGGAAATAACATTACTTGAATGTAACATTACTATGGGAAATGTTGTACTATTTTTTTTTAGCAGGAATATAATATTACTTAGACGGTATATTTTATCAAATTCTCCTTCTGGTATATATATTTTTTAAAACAATTAAAATTTATATTAAATTATAAATATTTGAATAAAAATTCATAGAATAATTTTAATTGTTATACTATCTAACTTTTGAGAAAAAATATATTTAATATATAATTAGTGTATTAAATTTATTTTTTTAAATAATTTTCATAAGCATCATATTTATTTATGTAAAATATAATATAATATGAAAAAAATAATATTATCATCTCGAGTGGACAATGATATTTATTTTCAATGTATAAGATCTATTTTTTAATAACTTGAAGTTAGAGATCATTTTAAATAATTATATTTTTACTATCATATTATTTTTCCCTCATAAAATTATAAATAATTAATATATTGAATATTAAAAATATAAAATAATTTTAAATACTCAAGTTTATTAATATTTTACTAAATTAAGCTCTTTGTGTATTATTATTATATTTATAATTTTGAGTAAAGTACAAAAAATAAGAATTGTAAAGGATCATTATAAAAAGAATTCATTAGTCCAGGAGCATTCTTGTCTAAAGTGGTGGGAATGATCTAATACATAAGAATTTGGAGGTAATGACATTCTCACCATTTTAATAAAATAATGCTACTATTGAAAAAAAGATTATTCTCTGGTAATAATCTTTTCCGTGGACCAAATAGGGAATACAATTCCGATAAAGATATTATTCCCCTTGGTAATGTTCTTTTTTGTGAACCAAACACCCCTTAGGGTTTAACAATCACTTTGTTAACATTAAGTTGATTACTTCCAGAGAAAGAAAATATTATTATTATTATTATATTAGGGAGATATCGATTTTATTATTATTTGGAAAATATTAAGATTTTAATTATCAGCAGTTTTTTATTCTAAGAAGTCAATACTTAATAGTATTATTTTCTTTAGCAAGTCTTTTAATTGGACTATGTAACCTCTGTTTAAGAGATGAATTTATTTCATGAAGTCAAAACACTTGAAATCGATATCTTGATATGCAAGTATAGTGAATTTGAGGCACATACCTGCAATTTCTGCCCAAGATTTCTTCACGACTGTACTCTGTCAGCTCCAAGAAGCTATCAGATGCAAAGATCTGAAAATCAAAACAAGTGGAATCATTAGTTTCTTACAAATTAAGCTCGGATTTGCATGATCTAATATTAGATATCATAGATTCAAAGTCTTACAATGGGATTATCAGGCAGACGTGGATCGGTAATGACAAAGTTTTTCTCTATACGTTCAAGTGTGGTGGCAAGATCAATGCCCTTTCTCATTTCCTTTTGTCTAACTTCATCATCGACACTGTCGGGCCTCTCAGCGTCGTCCCTTTCATCCTCGTCGGCGTCGGCATCCACCAGGAGACTATTGTCAAAGCTGTTAGTAGCAGACTGACTTTTCCTCCTAAGCCTGAAGCAAGAAGAAAAAACCTACGGTAAAATTGAGCCGCCACACGAACAAGATACGATAAAATAAAGGCATTGATCTGTATACCGCATGAAAGAAGGACGGCGAGATCTTCGGGGTTTCTTTTCTGGCACCTCGCTAATTCGCTCCATCGAGTTCCTTGGTACGTTTTCTGAGCTTCGCCTTGGGATAGCTCCCACTCCTTCCCCACCACCGGATTTTCTCATGAAAGGGTTACCTGCGGATTCACTAAGTGAACGAGGTCTCCTAACAGCTTCCACAAGTTCAGTAACTGAACCAGCAGCCATGTCCTTTTGCCGAGCTGTGATGAACAGATATTGTGTGCTGACCAAATCAAGTTGTGTACCATCGTATATGTGTTGTGTATGTATAAAACATCAACTAGTTTTTGCATACCATCGTATATGTGTTGTGTATGTATACATACCATCGTATCGAATCAAAGACTCGGGCAGTCCATTGGGGCGCATCGTCTTTTCCTTGGCTCCTTCTGTATGCTTGCTTACCTCCACTTGCATTCTGCCAATTTATTCGTTCAGACAATAGAGGAATGATTAATATTATATGAGAACTGAAAACCAAGATACCTAATAAAAGGATAAATGGGAAACTAACCCAATAAACTTCAAGACTCTTCCATTCTCATCCTTGATGGGTGCAATCGTAAGAAGATTCCAAAAGGGAGTCCCATCTTTCTTGTAATTCAACAATCTCCCACAATAATTTTTCCCTGCCTGCAATGCTTCCCTAATCTTCACCACATCTTCCGGATCCGTTCCCGCTCCCTGTAGAAATCGACTGGATCCCCGACCCGCCCACAATCAAATCAAAATGTTAATATTACACCCCTCCATGACCGTTATTACAGTTAATACACTCAAAAGAAAAACTTTTGTTTTACCAGTTCCTGCCCACCACCTCAGTAGAAGTGTATCCGGTCATCCTGAAGAATCCGGCACTTGCATACAAAATCGGGTAATCGGGTTTGGTAGCATCCGAAACAACGAATGTCTGTTGAAACGTTGACAATGCTTCCTTTAAGTCTTGGGATACTCTAGGAAATCCTCTCTCCTTGATGAATTCGTTATCCGAAAATTCATCCGAGCTCCGAACGGAAGTATTCGAGTCCCTACGAGTATCCGGTTTGATATTCGGGTCATCCCCACCCGAATTTCTAGCAACCACTCCGCGTGGCTTTCCGGTTTCATGATCGGTTTTCAGAACTAGCCCCCATTCTGCAGCTCTCTTCGCAGCATCTCCAGCTTCCTCCGAAGGCTTCGGACTGGCGGCTCCGCCGTGGTTTCGGTAATTATCGCCGGTGGTCTCATGAAAAAGTTGTGATGATGGCGGTGGAGATGGAGCAAGCGGTGGTTCCTCGAGCGCCATCCATGTTGTTATTTCTTCAACCCGACCCGACTTGGAGGCTAGCTGAGAACGGCCAGCTTCTTCGTGGCTACCACCTGGCTCGCCCAAGTTTTGCCAAGGGGATTGCGAGCGAAATGACGGGTTATTGGGTCGGGTCGAGAAAGTTGATGGATTGAACACGTCAAGTGAGCCTCTGGAATCCCTTGGCAGTGGTGGGATCGACTTCGGTTTCTTGCCTGAGTTTTCTTTCGGGTCCATATTATCTGCAAAAGTTTCAAAACCAATACTAATCCAAGCCTAGTGATCTATAGCTACACTCTATACAGGAAATGATGGACTTGAAAAAGAAGTAAACCACATCTTAATCCATAGCCATGCAAATATGCTGACAAGGAATCCAGTACCTGTTTAGAACGGTTGAAAATTTTATGGCTTAACTTATGTCGTATATGCCAGTGTTTCATCGACATCAGTTGTGGGGCATTGACATGAACTTGACTAAGAGGTCGGAACTGAAATTATTCTGAGAGATGATAAAAAGAATTTAATAATAAAAGTCAGTTTTTCAGTTGCTTGTTTTATTGAACTCCAGTTAGCAGTGAGTTTTGGTGACTGCAGAACTGATTGAGAACCTCATATTTTGGGGATAACTTGGACTGTTCATGACAGTGAAAGGAGTAATGAATTAATTTAGTTTCACACAAAATGAACACTGCAACTGAAAGATTGAAGGAGAAAAAGAAAACCCATAATCTTTAATTAGTAATGACTCTATATATGTGGACCTGTGGTAGATGCAGAAGCTAACCTCAAGTGAATTCAGATGGCACAATCATGGAAACAGTTTTTTTCCCCCCCAAAGACGAAACACAAGATTTTCTTTTTCATTTCTATAAAAAAAATACAATGAATTTCTATATATTTTACAGTCTGGAAATGGGTTGTCAACAAGGAAACAAATAACAACAAAAATCTAAATGTCACGTTGACAGTTGCGGGATTTATATCGGGCGTGAGCTTGTTCACCAGGCAATGCCTTTTCTTGGTGTCTCTCACTCTCACGAAAACATTAACTTTTATTTCTCTCTAAAGCTATTTCATAGCTCTAAAAGACTGGTCATCAACGATATAATGAAATGACAAGACGGGAAATGTCTGGTTTTAATGTAATTCTTTAGTCTTCATAAACAGACACGTGGCACAGTTGCCTTGTATTGTCTGACAATGTAGAGATCTTTGTCATGAAAATGATTTTGATTGAAACTATTGGACACGAAAAAGTTAACAAGGGATGGCTATCAACTTTAGCCTATCAAATTTCTGATATTTTAGATTTTCCTACTTAGTTCATTTTAAGGCTTATCCTTACTCTTCTGTATTATTATTTCTGGTTCAACAGAACCTTACTCTTTTGTCACCGCAGTAGTTTCCAAGTTAAATTTTGCATTAAAATAGAATATATTATTCGTAAAAAGGAAGTCACAAAAGCTGCTAAAAATTCATCATCAACAATTGCTTGAATCTTGAATCAGTCTTATCTTATTTGAAAATTTTAATAGGATAAAAAATATTATATTTGAGTCATAGACTTGAAGATTCTGATTTTTATCGAATGTAATTGGAGATTATACTAACAAGCAAGGGATTAAGTTAAACTTGGTCGGTTCAAGTGGTAAGCAACTTGATATCGCTTAAGTAAGGTCTCATGTTCGAGTCCTTATATATGTAGAAAATTCCTGCTGAGAGACTCACCCACTAAAACCAAGTGTGCAACCCGAATCGATCTAAATTAGTCAAGTCGAAAACTTAAAAATGGATTACAAAAAAAAAATTAAGCTAAAACTTGATAAATCATCCTATATTAAGCAAATCAACTAGAATGCAATCAATTTAAAACAACAAAGGCATTTATATTACTTTTTAAAGAAAGCATTATTACTAAACATATTCGATATTTTAATTGTCAATAAACATTGATTGTATTATTATATTATTAATTTTAACCCTTACACTCAAATTTAATCATTTTCAATTTTTATATTTTAGAAAAATAAGTATGCTTTTTTGTTATTGGATATATAAAAAAGAGAAAAGAAAGAAAAAAGGATAATGGGTAGGCGGCCCCACATGCGGTAGGACACAAATACGTAATCTTAGCTTATCTAGTCACGGCTGAAGGGCTGATTGTAACCGCGAATGGGACGGGGGGTCTGAAGGTGGGCTGTGGGCAATGGTCACCTTTTAACTCCTCCATACTGGTGGCCTCAAATCTCCCCTAAATATCATGATTCCAAATATGTGGAGTCTTTTGCACTTCCACCCTCGTTTGTTTGCCCCTCTTTTTCTTAAAAAAGAACAAAGAAAAACAATGTTCATTATGAATTTTAACACTTTAATTAATGATCCGTGCCAAATAATTTTAACATGTATTTCATATTTGTATTATTTAACCATCTTTTTTTCTCCTATATTTCCCCATCTGAGATTCATGTTCTCGTTTGATGCACCTTTTTCTTTTGATAATAAGCAAGGAAAGATGCACCTTGCAACTCCTGCTCTTACATGGTCTTTACTTTTTATGTCCGACGCAATCACTCATTTTCACCTTCTACACTAAAAATATGAAAAATGTCGATACCTTTCACCTATGAGTGGAGGCGGCAAACGGGAATAAACAGAGTGCGATTCATTTAATTCTGCGTTAGGATTCCTTTTAGGTCAACCATTTCAAGTTTGGACCAGATTCAAATCCGGTGGTTTGTTCTCAAGCATTACACAAACCATATCAACGTATTAATTCCCAAGGCATACAACCACTTCTCATCTCATATACACTGTTTTTTCATAAGCATTGGAGTGTAAGGTTTGGCCAAGTTAGCAGCAATCAGCAAACCTTGCCTGTATAATCTTAAACTATCAGAAGATTTGTCTTCGGACTGAAGCCATTACTCGAACAATCTTTTCCTCCTCCAGAGTCAAAACTGAGGAACAAAGAAAAGATCAAAGATATATTTCATAGTTGTAATCATGCAATGACCAACTAATCATCTATATTTTATAATATTAATGCAGAATACGGCATATTACAAAATCCAAATTTGCATGTTTTATCAGCTCACTGAACATACGTAAACTATATTCAAGAAACCGAAAAACACATGAAACGCAAATATCCACATGTATTCTTGCTCTTGGGGGCATCTCATACAATCACTTTTTAATCTGCATTTTTGGCTAGAAATTTCACTATACATGTGAATAACCTTGAACGGGGCAAGCAACCGCTCCTTCTACCGCTCAGTGGACTTCAACCTGCAAAAATGCCGGTCTTTCACATCGTCAGAAACTATCAGGTCGGGGAGTAGCACACTTAAAATAATGATGCAAACACAGTGTTCTCTTTTATTTGAAGTTGCAATTATAAAAGCATAAAATAGAACAGAATCCCCTTCATTATACTCGTAGCAAGGTGAGCTGCACGCTTTGTGGAAGGGGAAAGCCACTGCCTTCCGATTGTCAACGAAATTTAGTAATAAAGATAACAAATCATAGCCACCATAAATATTTCTTACAACTATGGAAAACTACCTGAAATGCTGATCATGATAAGCTTGCACCCAGGAGTCCAATCGACCTCTCTCCCCCAAAAGCCTCATCATTAAATCCATCATTATTCGAATTTTCTTGACATAGCAATTTGCTTTCTTTCTCAGGATGACCGTGTTGAGTGTTACCTTGCTCAGACCCATGATCGGTGTCAGCATTATCCTCCACATTTTGTCGATCGTGAAAATTTGTCTCCATCTTTTTATCACCGTCAGTGCACGGAGGGCCTGCATTAAGATCAGAGCCCAAATCTAGCCCTGATTGATCTCCAGTTACATAAAATGCCACGGTTAGAGCTCCTTGATCAGGTTGCTCCACAGTATCTTTTTTCTGCCTCTTCCATTTCTTAGTGGATGAAGTACCATCATCCTCGAAATCTTCTTCTTCTCTTTCTCTATGTAAATAAACCCACAATTTCCTCTCTCCATCGAATTGTACACAAGAATCACGTTCGTAATGCAAACGGTCCAAGGCCTCACTAACAACCTAATTAACTCGTGCATCAGAAACACCTTCTACAATGTATTGAGAGTCTCTTTATCAAAGTGCAAACATCTGCACGAGTGCCAATACTTCCAGGCAATCTGGAAGCTGCATCTCTCACGATACAAAGAATCGTAACATGTGGAGGCCTGTCACGTTTTAGCATAAAATGATCTCGAGCCTTTGAAGCAGGCTTACCTCCACACCTTCGCAAGGGAGCAACTATTGATTTTTTGCCAGCGGCGGCAGTGTAAGAGAAGGCTCTGTCAGGAATAGAATACCTCAGAAGCTCCTCCCTTCGGAAATAAGCTCTCACTTCTTCAGAACTTGGGCTAATGGTGTTAAGGCTCTTCTGAGCTTTAAGATCTCTGAATCATTCTTTCTCATCTAAATTGACTTGCATCAATTCACGCGGTGGAGCAGGAAGACTCTCTATTTGTTGGAGTCTCCTGACCATTTTTTAGCCAATTTGCAAATGAATCAACCAGCTTGACAAGCATTTTGTGGGGAAGACCCCGGGCTTCAGGCGATGTCACTTCCTTAATAGTCTCATCACTCATGATCATTTGAGCTATGCACAACAGGACCACCCAAGACCAATTTTTTGTGGACTTTTCATAGGCAGTAAGTGCCTTCCAACCTTTTGCTCCCAAAGGTGCTGTTTTTTATGAGAAAATTTTTAGAACTCCCCGAACTAAATCTTGGAGAGGCTCTTGCGTCTCAAGGAACATGGATCTCCAGGATTCACTGTCACACGATTAACAATCTCATGAACAGTTAGAGAAGGCACACTTGCTTGCACCTGATGATCCAACTTATAGATAACTGCACTTTCACGAGGAAGAACCCCACTTATACCTCCTTCCTGCTTTCCATTCTGCTCCTCTCTAGGTTTGCTAACCTCTACTGAATCTTCTGGAAGTGAACTAATCATTGCCAAGCGAACTGCAGAAAGAAGATGTATAACTGAGAATGAGAAGCTGGTATGAACTGAGAGGGTAATCAAAGTAAATGGCTTTTTCTGTTGTTTGGCTTCCATCTCCACATCTAAGGCTCCTACTTCTACACCATGTGCTTCAGAAGCTTTGTTATCAAGAGTACCAGCATCAACCTCCAGTTTTCGTTTCCCTTCCATTAACATGTGCCACATACTCCTTCCCCTTCCTCTTCTTTGTCACTTTGTTGCACCCTAGAAAAGAAACTGCAGATTTTTCATCATGATTATATGCTTCAGTGTTCTGGCCTTTATTCCCATCACAGCCCAGGTTATTCTCATTTAATAATGGTTGTATCACAGGTGAAGCATCCTCATCCTCAAAGTAAATGGCTAAATGGCTTTTTCTGTTGTTTGGCTTCCATATCCACATCTAAGGCTCCTACTTCTGCACCATGTGCTTCAGAAGCTTTGTTATCAAGAGTACCAGCATCAACCTCCAGTTTTCGTTTCCCTTCCATTAACATGTGCCACATACTCCTTCCCCTTCCTCTTCTTTGTCACTTCGTTGCACCCTAGAAAAGAAACTGCAGATTTTTCACCATGATTATATGCTTCAGTGCTCTGGCCTTTATTCCCATCACAGCCCAGGTTATTCTCATTTAATAATGGTTGTGTCACAGGTGAAGCATCCTCATCATCAACAAGACAGTCGTGCAGATAATTTGATTGACACAGAGACTGATCATAGGTAGGGATGGGCATCTAACCTGAACCCGACGGGTTCTGACCCGACCTGATCGGGTCGGATTTTTCAACAAAAAAATTCGGGTTCGGGTTGGGTTCGGGTTTAGGGTAAAAAAATTCGACCCGACCCGACCCGAAAAAAAAATATAATTTTACCTTATATATTTAGGAATAATTTCAATAATACCCCTCCATATATTATTTTTTTCAATTTAGTCACTGTTTTTATTGAATAAAAATAATTTTTTTTTATTATTTCGGATCGGATCGGGTGAAAAATTAATTTTGTCGGGTCGGATCAAGAGTGGAGGTCCCCTTCTTCTCGGATCGAGTCGGGTGGACCAAAAACCCGACCTAACCCGACCCATGCCCATCCCTAATCATAGGCGAGTTCACCTTTCTGCCTTTCCTCGGTAAGGTAAACCCTTGAGGAGGGCATCTGTAACCTGTCATTTTTGCCCAACTGGCAAACTTGTTTCCTATCAACCTCATCCAAGATGTTATAGGCAGAGTAATGCAAGGGACTGCTTTCGTGCATCTTGTCATTCCGTCTTCCTTTCAAATAATAGCTTTCTACTCTTGGCACATGCACATTTTCCCTTACCTCCTTGGAGTAGCCCACTGGGGACCTCAAATGAAGAATCGATAGAGCTTAGAGTTAGGTCACAGTTTGGGAGTAAGAAGGATGCACAACTGGCTGTGAAGGAATTTTGTATAAAAGCTCATATATCACCGTTATGGAGTCTGACGAGAAGACATATTTTGTCAAATGTGTTAACAACAAAGTCGGCGTGGGAAGTCACAAGGTTCTACAACCATCACAGTTACACGTTAAGCTCCTACACTCAAGAACACGAGCAATTAGACTATGATGTCATATGTGCTTACATGAAGCTATTGGTCGGAAAAAAATTGAGGATCCCAGTATCAATGATCGTGGCATCAATATGGAATATATTTTGTTATATTTTCTTATTACAAGTTCTGGATGGCCAAACGGAAAGCTATGACACTACTCTACGGTGATTGAGATCAATCGTACAATAAACTGCCCCATATGTTGCACGCGATGAAATATTTTATCTCAAAGATCATTGTTCGCTCCTACACTTATTCTGCAATCACATTTTATGGACAATTTATCCCTGAAAAGAGAGTTTTCAGAGGCTTGTTATGGGCTTTCAAGTAACAAATTGAAGGCTTTCGTTATTGCAAACTGATGGTTCAAGTGAATGACACTTTTTTGTACGACTTATACAAACACGTCCTTATGGTAGCTGTTGCACAAGATGGTGACAGAAACATATTTCTCATTGACATCGCCATTGTAAAAAAATGAGTCCGAGGAAACGAGGAATTTCTTTCTGTCAAACTTGCGCTCCCATATTGCCACCCAAGATGGGTTTTGTATGATCTTAGATCGTTCGCCTTGGTTGTTAGCCATGATTGACAGACCGTGAAGTAAGTGGTCAACTTCTCATGCATTCCTTGCGTATATACGCTATATTGCTTCAAATACTAGATGAGGTTTAAGAATAAGAATATAAAGAAAGAGATTATCAACATGAGTAACTTATTCGATTTCACCTTTCATTTTATGGTCTTGGTCTTCGTTTAAAATTATTATACTTACACCTAACTATTTTTCCAGGCTATGCATTACTGCAACTGAGCTTTTGTGCAAGACTGGAAAATTTGAAAAAGTATGGAGAAGAGGTGTATAACTTTGTAGCTGAGATACCTCGGGAAAGATGGACACAGTCATATGACGATCAAGGTCGATGTTACGGTCATATGACAACCAATCTTGTCGAGTGTATCAATTCAATGCTAAAAGAGACTAGACATCTTCTGGTGGCAAATATTGTTCGGGAGACATACTTCAAGTTGAGTAAAGTTTGGGCACAAAAGTGCCTAGGTAGAGGCAATTTTGAACGAAGGTAGAAATTGGGCTTCAGATCTGGAGAAAGCAATGAAAAAAATCAACATAATGCAACATCAATGCATGGTCGTAATTTTACCAGACTGGAATCTGATTATATTACCACTTATATTGGTAATCTGAATAGAATATGGTATGATTGTGGTTGATTTCAAGCCTTCAAATAGCCATGCGCTCAAGTAGTTGTTACACGTATGTATGTGAATGTTGACTCATACATTTATGCTGATGATTGTTATAGCTTGCATACTATGAGCAACATATATAGTTGCGAGTTAAAGTACCTCCCGAACGATGCATATTGGCCACCTACTGTCTCTAAAGAATGGTTGTCCAATCCGCAATTACGCAAGAAGTTGAGGGGTCGTCCAAAATCTACTCGAATTCATACTGATATTGATGACCCTCAAAGAGAGTAAGGTCTGCCGAAGCATGTGGCCACTGCAGAGGTGAAGGTCACAATAGAAAACATTGTCCACATCTCTCAAGATATCGAGCAGACTGATAAATCCTTTGTACTGATTTTACAAATATCAATGCTAATTTTTCAATTTTTTAAGTTTCATATATAATTGCAAACTATAATGCTTAACTAAAGTCAAATTCATATATTTATTTAAAACATTTTTCAACAAAATAAACATCTTTTTCTCTTAATTTTTACATTGTTTTTCTTATTTTGCATTCCTTTCGATAAGTCGTTTGATGCGTTAACTTGCTAACTCTTTATTTTCCTTCTTCTCCTTCTCCTTCTCCTTCTTATTCTTCTCCTCTTCCTCCCTCATCAACTCATATGTTGATCAAGAATAGAATTTATTGATTCTTTCACCCACTCCTCATCTGAAGACGAGCTTGAATCTGAATCATCTGAAGAGTAATCAAATCAAAGATGATCTTTCAAAAGTTGCTTGAAATATTCTTCCCACGAGTGCATTTTTGCTTCTCCTATAACTTTATCAACTAACTCAACTCCTATTTATAGTTAAAATTTTAGAAAATGAACGTTGAAACTCATCACTTCGAGATAACGAGTTCCAACGACTCTTTTTCAAATCTAAAACGGCTATAATATTTTAAACCTAAGAAATCACGTTTTTTATAAAAAAAAATTCACTTAATAATCTTGAAAAAAATAATTTTTAATTGAACTCGCCTCCTCGAGGTAATGAGTTCGACGTTTTAAAAAAAATAATTTCACTTAATAATTTTGAAAAAAATTATTTTTTTAATAGAATTTATCTCCTCGAGATGACGAGTTATTGAGGGAATATTAAAATATAGAACCCGAAATAAAATATATATATATATATCATGGAACTAGTCAATTCAAAAAATTATTTATAGGTGACAACTTCGTCCTACACTATAGAAAATATCGTCCATCCCAAAATAATTTATGGGATGTCTATTAGGCCAAATAATCTGCCGGCTGTCGTATTGGGCCAAAAAAACCCTATAAAATAACCCAAAAACTCAACCAATTCAGTGAATCTACAGCTATAACCAAAACGGAAAAGAAGAGAAAATAACAATGCCGAATTTTGCTTTGCAAAGTACAAGGAAAGTAGTAGGGTATTACCAAGCGATGACGCTTCTTCCACCTAGAAATGATCCTCTCGAAGCCTTCCTTTGCTATTTCATGTGCCACCTCCGTGAAATGAAGTTGAATCGACAGGGAAGTAAGTCTGTATGAAAGCTTATTTGCATCCCAGATAAATATACGCCCTCTGCTCATCTCAAAAGAATCCACGACATCTGTAATTACTAACAAGGAATTCTCTTAATAAGATATAATATCTGAAACCCAACTTGATGGTGTAAAGCTTGAACAAGAGCCAAAGCTTCATCCCCAAAACATAAACTACATTAAATTTGTTAACAGAGATTAATTTTCATCCAACCTGCACTACCACATTAAAAAAAAGTAAAAAACTGTTTGTAAACCGTAATACAATGATCGGACACGTATCATTAAGTGGGCTACCAAAGAATCCGGTTAAGGCAGAGCCTAGAAAGCCCAAGAGCCGATCTCTCGAATTGTGGATCCATCATGTTTCTGCTTAATAAATAACGAATCTCTCAATATTTTGCCGTGTTTGTACTTTTTAAAATACTTTAGACAGGTAATAATACAGAAAAAAAGTTTCTGAAATTCTTTTTTTATCTGCAAATATAGACAACAAATCTAGCTGGATAATCAAAGTTTTTGGGGGTTTTCTACCATGGACATTTGAGTATGGTCTCATTCATTTTATTTTTGCATACACCATCATGTAACCCAAATAACATCTTCGTGTCGGTAATTCTACAGGTAGAGAATTGAAAAAATGAAACCGCCAGGTTAACGCTGCTCGGTAGAAATATGGCTCTTAGCTTTTAATGCAAAAAGCCCAATTTAAATAAACATTTGACGTTTAATATTATAATTTATTTGAGTAAAAAATAAAAGATACTAATGAAAACTATTGTTTATTAGGTCACGTTACAGCAAAGCATGGATTCCAGCAGTTCATTTACCCAACCCCACTTAATAAAGAGCTTTGCTTAATGTGGAGTTTGACAGTTTTGAGTCAATTAAATTTATGTGTGTGGGCACTGCAGGATGCAATTTGGGGAAACTGCATCCAGGGCTTGAAAGACTTAACTTGAGTAGATCGGATTTGGATCAACAAAGTTTCTTTGACTTTGATGATGATTTCTTACCCTCCTGCCGACAATTAATGATACAAATATTCAAGGAATAAAAAGAGTGTCGATCGTTATTGGCTTTTCTTAGTGAGGAAGAATAAAAATTCTAGATTTGGGTTTCCAGAATAATCAGTTTCTTATTCCTCCAATTTGTTAAATGCACGTTTTCCCAAACTTAATTGCCCAGAAAGACAACTGCCTTAACACTTTGGCATCTGTGCCGCAAAAACAAATTAAAAACTTTGAAATTTCAGACTCATTTCATGGTTATTACATTGTTTTAAAATAATGTTTTTATTTGAAAATATTATTTTAATATAATTTAATGATTGTTTGTATGTTTATTTTAATTTATTTTAAAATAATGTTGGACCAAAACATAAGCGAAACACAATTTTGATTTGCTTTCCAAATTAGAAGACATCATAGTTTCAATAATTTATCACCATCCCATTTTTTTTATTTGGAGTTTTTCCTTTCTTTGATTTGAATCAAGCTAATTGGGAAAATAAATTCTAAATTTAATTGGTCTATCCCTTATCAAGTGACGCCATAAAATTAATATTTTTATTATGTTTCCATCTTTATAGTTTTAAATTTTGTGAATGCTATGTTTTTTCTGTAAGTTATTAAATTTGGCGATAAATTCTTGAATACTTAATTATACTGTTCTTAAATTTTAAGAAATTTAATTGGAATATGCGATAAATTCAATAAAAAAATTTGTTTGTGCACTTTTTCACAAAAATAAGAAGTTGCAATTTCATCAGATCATTTTCTTTATTTTAAAACCCATTTTTAAAAATTAATTCAGTTTATAAATGAACTTAAGAAAAGAGAAAATCAATAAGGAAATAGATTTATGTGAAGAAAGAGAAGTGAACTTAACAGCTCTTAAAAGATGATCAAACCATGATGTCAGCAAATGACCTAAGCTTATTAAATATTAGGGTAAACTATGCATTTAATATGTAAACTATTATTTTTATCTGTTTTAGTACCTAAACTTTTAATTTTTTAAAACTATACATAACATTTAGTTTTCATTTCATCATTTTAGTACTCCGTCGTTAAATTAATGCGTTTGGTTCCTAAACTATATGTTTCGGTCTGTTTTAGAACACAAACTTCCAATCTTTTCAAAACTAAACTTTAAATTCTGAACGAATATACTAAAATAAAACAAAAACTAATGCTTTTAAGGTTGAGATACTAAAATGAAATAAAAACTAAACTTTCAGTATGATTTTAAAAAAATTAAAAGTTTAAGTATTAAAATGGATTAAAATTGATGGTTTAGATACTAGAAGCGTAATTTGACCCAATTATTAAAGGTGTGGTGTTGGATAAAAAAAGAAAAACAAGATTACAGCAGTCGCAATAAATTACTTTTTATAAAAAATAAATAAAGATTTCCGATCATGATATCACATAAGCGTTCGAGCTCAGGGAAGATACGTTCATTGTTAGATGATAGAAAATTATTTATTAACATATAAAATTTTAAACTTAATCCATATTAATAAAAAAAATGTAATTCAAAACTTTTTATACAGTAATTTAAAACATGGATGCAAAGAAAGAGACCATTTCAACCAAGTTTTCTTTTCTGTTTTAGGGTGTGTTTGTCCGTAATTGGAATTACGGAATTGGTTTTTCTTGAATTTCTGTATTTGTTTCACGTAATTCGTTTTTCGGAAAATGTTTTTCCGTGTTTGTTTCATGTAATTCGTTTTCCGAAAAATATTTTCCCGTATTTATTTCACGTAATTGGTTTTCCGGAATGTAATTCATTTTCCTAGTAACATAATTTCCTTTGTGTTTTTTGTAAAATGACTTATAGATTCATTTTCCGTAAGTCATTTTCCGAACTTTTCACTTCAAAGAATAAATACTCAAAATAATTTTATTTTATGAATTTAATATTAATAAAATATTTTAATATCATTTTCATCAAAATATTATTTATTTATTTATTAATATTTATAATAATATAATATTATATTTTTAATATTATATAAAATAATCAATTATATTATAATAATATAAGATATTATATTTTTATTTTAATAATATATAATATTTTTTTTATATATTTAATAATGAATAATATTATTTATATATTTAAATAATATTTTAATAAAGATATTTAAAGTATACTAATTAATATTTTTAAAATATAATATAACACTATTACTTTAATAAATAATTAATATAATTT